GGTGATTCATCTTCAACAGCTCCAAACCTCTTTGCGTGTTCTTTCTGAAGGTGCAAACTCTATGACAGATTTCCATGCTTAATTCACACCAGCAAGTAATCTTTCTAGTCAAGGGGGCTGGTTTAATGGCAAGAACAATTTATTTCCCTCTGGCTAGGGAGAAACAGTTGGACTCTAATTCTTAAGAGCCTTTGTTCAGGAACATCTGGGTTGAAACTACTGTAGTTAACAGATGATGTTGGCAGTAAAAAAAAAAAAAAAAAAAGCATCGTATAATGTCATTGTCAAATTTGGTAGACCTCTACTTAATAATTATCAAGAAAGCAATCTAACTTGTTATTACAACAGTTTTATTGCAGATTGCTGGCTTAGGACCTTTTGTGAAAAGTGGCATTTTTTTCTTGAAAAAAAAATCATTTCTATTCCTCTGTAATTATTTTTACAATCAGTGACAACTTCCTGTATTGGGACATTTTATTCTAGAAACCAAGAATTAAATCATTGCTAGCTTATGGCTGATTTTCTCCTGTTAATCACATTGTGAAAGTTTTCTTCTTTTTGTATCTTAACTCATCCTGATGCTACTTCCTAATCCCACACCAGTCCTGCATACATTGAAACCCTGTAGGCTGGGTAAAACCAGAAGAATGACTGTAATGATTAGATAGCTAATGCCCAGTCTTTTAAAGAAAAGTGTTGTTGAATGATGCAAGTAAATATTTAGCCACAGGATATCAATTCTGGTTAGTCCAAAGGCAAATTCCTTGAGAGTGTGCCCTTTACAACAGGATCTCTAGCAGGTCTCAAGGACAAATTGCTCTCTGTATCTTAGAATTAAACCTGTATCTTGCCATAGTCAATTGAAGCCAAAAATTAGATACTCAGAGTATATTGCTACTATTATTTCCTTCCGTATCCTTGTTTTCCAGTTTGTCTGCTTCTAACAAACAAGTTAAGATGCATCTAGTTTCATGATCCTATACTTACTTCCAAGCCTCATCTGGCTAGATTTACCTCATTTGCCACTTTATTTGCACTCCAGCCACTCATGAGATTCTGTTCCCCATTCATTCATGCATTTATTTATTCATCCTTTATTGAAACCTTACTCTTTGAACTTTGAAAAATGCCAGTGAGGCAAAGCATGCACTGAGAAACTCCGTGTAGAGGGGAGAGACAAGTAAATAAGTGATCATCACACCAGCTCACCTGTTTACTCACTTTGCTCTGCTGTTTCTCACTGAGCCCCCAACAGAAGCGGCACCTCTGCTACAGTCTTAAACCTAGGACCCTGACTTTGACCCACTGTCTGTGGCAGGATCTAACAAAAAATGTGATTTGAATACTCATGGGCGAGCCATAGTTCTGGTTCGAGTGTAAATCATGGTTTATTATTCAAGATCTGTATTTTGCCAATATCCAGAGGATACCTGTTAAAGCAGGGCTTAAAAATTTATATGCTGATAGGGGGCAGGCAGTTAGTAACAAAAAATGAAGAGTGAAATGGTCTGAGACAATAGGGAGTAGTGGGGAACTGTGGCACACTGGAGAGCACACATTTTATCGGATGGGGGCAGGAAGAGGATAAGTGCTTCAAAATCTCAGTCCTTTTTAACCACCTGGAATGTGGTTTCAGTACAGCCTGTCTGATTTTTCAAGGAAAGCCAAAAAGCTAGTTTTTATATGAAATCACCTGTTGGTGTCTATTTCTGTTTTTTGGTTTTTTTAAACACTGTACTTTCCAAGCAGAATGTGTCTACATGTTGGGATTGTGACTGCCACTTCATTTCCTGTGTTCTGATGAAAAGCATCTGTGCACACACTGCATGGAGACCTGATTTCCACTTTTGGCTTTTATTCATAAAAACCCATTGACCTTGAGCTCATTGCTCTCTTCAGTTTGGACCCTAGTTTTACCATCTATATAAGAAGGGCAGGACCAGCCAATCTTGAAGGGTCTGAGTCTGAAAATCTATGGTGTGGCATTGTTTGTATATGTCTCTCTGTTTACACCACCCTGTCCCTCTCCTCTTCCTCTGGCAACAGCTTGCTTTAGATAACAAAGTTCTTAAAGAGGCTTCTTTCTACAAGGCAGTATAGAATCATCTTATATATGGATTTGAAAGGATAAAGTTGTGGATTTAAAACTGTAAGAGGACTCAGAACTGCTCCTCCACCCCCATGAGGTTAAGGAACGTGTACCAGGCCACATAGATTTTTAGGGACTTTCTTGTATTAGGAAGCTCCTTTCTTTTTATATCCAGTAGGTAAATGGTACTTTAGTAACTAGAAGATGTAATTCACTATTACTATGAACTATTTCTTCCTTTCTTACCAGTAGGATTAGATCCATAAAAGCAATTAAGATCTTTGATTCCATGAACAACTAGGGTTCCAAATTGGAATGGTCATTGCTTATAGGGTATCAGCAAATTAATCATTTAATGATCCATGCTAAGTTAAGATCAGCCTTTCCTTGATTTTTTGGCATGTAGCTGCTGTTTACATTAGAAAGTGGTTACTTAATCTGGTAATTTGGTTCAATAAACATTGCATAAGCTATCTGATTTTTTTAAAAAACAACTTAAGCTCCAGAAGTAACAACCCCATAAAGGGTGCATGTTAGCGGTGCTCTATGGGACGTAAATTAAGAACGGCATTTTTCCAGCTATAGTTGGATGTGTGTGTTGGTGTTTCAGCAAACTGCCTAATCAGCACAAAGCCAGGTCATTAGAATCTGCTGGCAGGAATCAGAAAACCTGCAAATCACCAGGAGAGCCCTGATACGCCTGGATGGAAGTGGTCCTTTGAAATTTGACTGTCTGCTGAAGGCAATGCCTGGGACTACTACCTCACATGTAGGAACAAGCGATTGGTCTCACTGCCTGGAGAGCATGAGGCCTTTGCCAGCACCTGTCTTGCAAGCAACACATCCCTGTGTCTAGTGCATCTGATACGCCGCCTCTCTATTTAAAACCAACTAAAGGCCCATTTTGCTTAGAATAAGTTGCAGACTCCTTCCTGTGGCAAGCAATGTCCTCATCATCTTGCTTGCTCCCACCTCACTCTCTGACCTAATCACTATCCCTCTCAACTTTGCTTACTCAGCTCCAACCTTGCTGGTTTTATTGCTGATCTGCAAACACCCAGAGCCTTTCCTGCCTCGGGGCCTTGACACTTGATATTTCTACGTCCTAGAAAGTTCTTTCCCCATTTCTTCTAATTGCCCTCTCTTCCTCATGTTCTTGTGCGCCTTGCATCCTCAGAATGGTCCTCTGAACCTTTGCAGATGACCTACCCTTTCTAGGTACTCTTTATCCTCTTTGGTTGTTGTATTTTCTGCCTAGCACTTGCCATAAACTAGAAACGTATTATTTATTCAGTTGTATATTTGTTTGTGACCTATTTCTCCCAAATCAAAATGTGCTTCACTGGAGCTGTATATCCTGCCAGGTATTAGCTAGAGTCTGTAGGCAAGTTATTTGGGCTTTCTGAGCCTTGGTTTTACCACCTGTAAAATAGAGATATCAGTAGAAGTCTGAATAACTGGAGTATCAGCTCCTTCTTGGGGATAGTGTCACTATTAAGTTGGACCACCAAGAAGCTCCCTCCCTCCTCAACCTCATCCCTCTTACAATGGTGGAGTTAAATAAGCATCAACTCATTTTTCAATTTGTCAATCAATTTTTCAATGTTTATCATTCAAAACTTCCTTAAAATATAAGTGGTAGCGCTCATTATGACACTTAAAATACATAATATATATAATTATTTTCTTGTTTATGTACTTTTATTTCATGTCCATAAATGTAAATTTTTATTTAATCATATCCTGTTATTTATGTTTGTATCGTTCCATATAATATTATTTGTTGATTTTATATCTCAAAATATGCTTCAAAAAGTCATTTGGAATGCTAATACCATATTGCCCTGTACCTTATGACCTTATTATTGGACATTGAGGTTACTTTCAATTTTTCTACTCTGCATCAATAACACTATTCTGAACATCTTTATACGTAAATATTTTCTTGCACCTTTTGTTATTTTCTTAGAATTGAAAACCAGTAAGTGGAAACCATTTGTTTATTGAGCTTCTCTATATCAGTGGGTCCATGCACTATGCACTATGGGAAATTCCACACAAATCCAAAACTCTTGCAGAAGTTTCTCTGGTTAAGCAGTCAAAGTTCAGGTACAGAAACAGTAGGGAGCAACCACAGCCAGTATAAAATTGACTAAGAGCTCAATGGTTTGCTTACAGACAAGGTGATAGGGGAGTTCCGAAATAGAAAGTCAGGGGTAGCAGTAGCTGGGGAGCACTACTGCTTGGGAGATTAGATTTGACCTGGCCTTGGAGGGAAGGCACTGGGGGCAGGGACCACACGAGGGAAGGGACGGAGGCAGGAAGAAGCCAGACTCAAAGAAGTCTAGTCTGCAGTCGGGAGCACAGGGCAGATGAGGTGAGACAGCTTGGATGGAGCCAGGAGTGACAATGCCATAGTCATGTGCTGGGCTCTTACACAGAGGCTAAGTATTATTACCATCATTCCAAGCACACAGGGGTCTGCTCGGAACAACAATATGAGCCATTTGTACAAAAGACCAAAGTGGAATCCAAATAACGGGTCCAGCTGGTCCAAATCTCTCCCTCCCCCTGTAGTGAACATTTTACTACCCGGCCGAGTAACTAATGAATCTGGCCCAGTGTAAATCCCCAGGCACAAATCCCTGCTTGGAGTCTGTGTCTAGACATCCAGACCTGAGTGCAATTTGCACTTTGAACACCCAGCACCTCATCACTTGTGAGAAATCAGGTTTAACAGGGAAGATGGGGAGGTGTCGCTTCCACCCCTTCCCTTTGGCACAGTGATGGTGGCATGAGGATCCCCTTGGATAATGACTGCACGAGGAGACTGAAAGGTTGTAACAGTGTTTGTTATGTGGCTCTAGTTGTTCAGAAGCACTGACTGGGAGGTTTCTCCATCTCATTGCAGGCTGTGTTTTGTGAAACTCAAGCTCCTAATGATAGCCATTGAGTACAAGTCCGCCAACCGAGAGAGCCGGTAAGTTTGCAGCGATCCAGCGGCCGGCCGACATTTATGGTGGTGAGAATGCACTCTGGAAACGGTCGGTTCACTTCTGCTTTCTTGTGCATTATTTATTTGCTTGGAACCCAATTCAGCACCTCTCTGACCTTAGGGTACAATTCAAGGCATACTGTAGCAGACACTGCAACTTCTAGCCCAGACCAGCCTGGCATTCCAAGCCCCACTGGGCATTCAGAGGGTGTTTCCCCAAGGGAGAGGGATGGGTCCTTCAAATATCTCCACCCCAACATGCCAACCTGGATTTTCTACCTTCTAAGCATTAAACTGGGACAGACCCTGTCCTAAAACTACTTTTAACTGCTGTGAGCAAAAAGCAGGTAGACTCTGGCCTCTTTTATAGCAGGCATGGGGTAGAGCTGTGAAGGGAGACACCAGGTCTCTTGATAGCCAAATTACAAGCAGCCTATTGTGTACCATATGTGCTTCTCCCCCTGCAAGCAAAATCCACGTGGCAGAATATCAGCTTCATGTATATTAGCCAGGAGAGTGGGGCTCAGAGACAGGAGCTCTCGTTATTTATTTATTTTGTACTTAATTATGTACAAATCAGACTAGTGAGGGATTGGGTCTGGTTGAAATAGATAACACCCCAGTCAATATATGAGTTCATGCTGGAGGAGGGAAAGCATCATACTAACAGGAAGTTTTGTTGATTGGGTGCTGTATGCATTACAGATAAAATAGAGATAATTTTTGCTCCCCAATTCTTATCAGTAGTTTTGGGAGAAAGAGAGCTCATTGAAAAATCCTCGCGCTTTTGTTCTCTGAAATGGCATCCAGAGTGTGTTCCTCCTATAGTAATTTTTCTTCCTGTAGATGCCCAAGTGTAGGGTGCAGATTCCCCCTCCACCAAATGCCTTAATAACTAAGCAGGGCAAGACTAGAAGGTTCCTGTTATCACCACTTAAGGAGTTTTCATTTACTGGGTGAATGATCCCATTCAGCCAGGCTTCCAAATATACAGTCTGTGTCGGCAGCAAAAACAAAACAAAACACTGGGTTGTAAGCAACTCAATTCAGTGTTTTCTGTTACCTTGACCACGAGATCAGATTGCTCACAAAGTTGATCTGATTAAATGTTAAACGACTTTGAAAATCCAAATCAACCAAAAGAAAGAAAAAATGGTAGATTTGGTGGCCACATGTAGGACATGGCCGTAGTGGTTAACAAATATGTAGACATAAATTTTTTGTGTTGGCAAAGTGAAGAACATTATTTGCGAAAAACTGAGATTCCCGGTAATTTGCTGCTCAGCAGATGAGATGGGATTCTCCAGGATTACTGTTTGCCCATGTTTCCCCCAATACTCATCTGTACCTGTGTGAGGGAATTGTGTATCCTGGGTTTTTGCAAATGATATTCTTTGTGTTGCCAAGTCAGTAAATCTTTGTGTAACTGAGTGTTTTCTCTTCATCACTTTTGTGCATCTTTCAAAAAAGTGTCATGATATGGGTGATGCCGATGCTGAATAGTGTTTTTCGACCATTCTGGAATAATTTTACATTGGGAGACTATGTCCTGAACCTTGACCAGTTGTCTCCCACTTGGTCACCTCAAGGAGGGAGAACAAAAGACTGTTGTAAATGGTTCAGTGTGAACCCACTTTCATTATTCCAAGAAAATGAACTCAGAGCTCTCCCTGAAGACAAACTCTTTTCCTGGATGGACCCTTCAATTGATTCACAAATCTGAGATGTTTTCAACAAAGCCTTATTTATGGATATAGACAGTTTTTAGATTTTTTTTTTCAGGAAAGGGCGAAAAAGAATATGTTTGGCTTTGTTTGGCTTTCTGTGTGCAGTTGCCAGCTTGACTCCTCAAATGTGGCTTGGTCTCAGTGTGAACACACATTGGTTCTTGTGGAAAAAGGTGTGTTTGAAGGAATGTGGATCATGCCTCTGAGAAAACAACAGGACTCATCAAACACAATATCCACATTAAAAATAAATGAGTTTTTGATACTTCCCGAGATGATAATTTTAAATTGTTCTTTATTTGAAAGTTTTTCATTTCTTTTCCTCTCACATTTTCTAACGGACTGGGTATTAAAATTCCGAAAGCCTGCTTTTCCTTCCCACCTCTTGGCTTCAACCTGTGTTTAACTACCTCTTTTGTTGTTGGTTTCACCCCATGATACTGTGCTCATGCTTTGCTGAAAAACCTTGTTTTCACATGCATCCTTCAAATGATTTGAAACAAAGGTTTTATTCCTTCTTTCCTTCTGGTGTCAATCAATTTATTATCAAATTGTTTGATTTTAAATTCTTTTCTTGTCGTTTTGCAGAAGCCGAAAGCGGTATGCACTCTTCGTTAACTTTCCTTCCAACCTCCACCCTCTATCTTCACTCCTAACCACAGGACTAACCATTTGCCAAGAATTCAAGAAGAGAGAGATTATATATACACATATATAATCTCATTCCCTTGCCTAGTGTATATATATATATATATATATATATATTCATATATATCTTTTATATATGTGTATTTATATATATGTATATGTGTGTGTGTATATATATATGTATGTATATATACCCATCTCCAACTAGAGTACTTAAACCAAAAATAGCCTATTGCTGTTATCGTTTGATTTGTTGATTCTTTTGGATGACGCACTAACTTCTTTGCAGGAAACCTAAAAAAAAGGAAAGGCACACTCCTGTTTTCAATCATGGCACCAATGATGGGAACAAATACTATTAAAGTTGAAAAGGAGGACGCTTCTCTCCAATCCTTTGTGTCTGTTTCTGTATTGTCCTATGTGTCTTGGTGCCATTTTGTCTATGTATCACATCCACATTCCCAGTGACCTCCCCCTCCCTGTGTACAGTTTCCAGTTTGTAGAACAGAGTTAATGTCCTTTTATCCACAAAACAGAGACCAAGCCCTTACACTTACATTTTACCTTACACTTATTTTGGTGATAACATTTAGAGTATTTTTTTCTTAGGCAGTGCTCAGTAAAGACTTAGAACACTGCTACTAAATTTTCAGATTATCACATTTGATTTAGAATGAGTACTACTTATAGAGACAAAAATCACAACTTTTGTTTTTCCTAGTGTGTTTGGGCATAGAGTTTCTCAACTTTCACCATGTAACTTTCATCCTGTTTTGCTGCTGTTTTATGTTGCGTGAAACATGACTGATTGTCATCAATGACATTTTTAAAAAACTTTTTGGGTTAATAACTTTTCAATAATGTGTTCTCTAAGACGGTATTGTTGAAAACATACTATTGAGATGTCTACTTGTTCATCTTTTTAAGAGTTACTTTTCTCCGTGGTTGTAGTCTCTGTCACGTGTTTCTGTTTGTTATTGGGTGTGTGTGTATGTATGTGTATTTGTCTGGACCTCTTTCCAAAGTCAGTTTCTTGTGATTTTTTTGAGTAGATGTGTATAAATAGTGGTGGCTTCCTGTCAGTTTGGCATTATTGTTATGATCCAACTGCAAGAAGTTACTGCAACACTTTGCATCTTCAAAGGTCCACAGTGGTTGCACCTCTGCTGTTGGCTTTTGGCCTTTGAGTCCTTTTATCTTGTGGTGAAGGCATGCTGTGATGTAGGCATGACTTGTCCTAAAGTATACCAGAAAGTGACTTGGCTTGCTCCCAGAATCAAATATCCAGCATTATCCTTCTTAGATCAACTCTCTCTTCCCTGTCTCCGGTGGCTAATATTTTTTGTATGTGCAAAATATATTTTAAAATGCCATTTCTAAAATTGTTGAGATGGATTTGGGCTAAATAAGTCCTTGCCAATATCATTGGCATACCACAGTGGCAATCATTTGAGTCTGACTGACTGGGAGCAATCTGGATCATGCTGTCTGTGTGTAAGTGAACTGGGCTTAAGTATGTTGAAACATGGAATACATAACTGTGTCTCCTACATACATCCTACAGTGAAAGTGTGTGTGTCTAGTTGTGTGGGACTCCAGTAGCATATATTGTATTTTCAAGCCCAGAAGAAATGAAAAGTTCCAGAAAGGTGATACAATTTGCAATATGGGATTTCTCTGAGCTGTGTCTTAACACAACCAACAAACTGCAGTGCAGTTGTACTCCCTGAGAGGGGACCCAGTTGGTTCAAATAAAGTCCAACTGATAGTAATTGCATATGAACTTGTGTGATCAAAGAAATCTCTTCCCAGTGGCATGATTCATCTGGGCATAGCATGAACTAAAGTCCTAGATGGTTCTTATTTGCTTGCTGTAGTTAATGAAGTCCCATTAGCTTACTAGACACAAATATAATTACCATGTGATCAAGTACAAATGGTGGTCTCATATGAATCATGATTTTTTTTTAATTGCCTGGGGAATGGTACATTACACCTACCAAAAACGGAGGGAGGAGGAGAGAAATACACATCTATCATATGTATTCATAATGGGTGAAACTTTCCTTTTAAAAATAACTGTTTTAGTTGAATTATGAATCATTGGTTGTCTCTAAAAATAGTAAACTAGTAAAGTTTACAATGATTGAGGACAATAACATTAGATGTTTTCCAGTTATATACAATGAGTGAAGAAAGATAATCATTCCCCCACCACACCAAGCCCCAGTCCCCCAACCTGACCAGTGTTTAGCAAGAGATACCCAATAAAATATGATGCTGCTTGAGATCCAATGCTTCTCTCATGGAGGGACCTGACAGAAACATTTTCCTGTTGGACTGGGCCCTGCTAGCCAATCCATGTAGATGTGTTTTATGCTTAGGAACACATATTTCACTTCTGAGTTGTGTTTTCAATATTGAAATCAGTTGTTCCAATTCCCAATTGGCACACTTTCTATATATACTTGTATATTTGTACATTCATACTTAATGCCCCTGAGAGAGTGTTAGCTCATTGGCCAACCCCCTAGAAGAGGTATGGTCACTCCTTTGATTGACCTGACTGATGAGAGTGGCAACTTGGTCTTTAAAAGAAAGCTGTGACTTTCTTTCTCCTTATTTGTGAGGAAAAGGATAATTTTGGAGCTGAGGACAATGACTTATGTTTGTATTAATTCAACAAATATCTGAAAAGTGCCTGTTGCATGCAGGGATTTAAGCTTGCAACTCTGAGAAACTCAAAAGTAAATAGAACATGATCCTGTTTTTTACCCCTCTGCTCCACCACGGGCTCCTCATGGAACATATGTATTTGCTCCATATAGGGGGTGAGTAAATGAGTAATAAGTCTAGATTTAGAACTAGTGTGAAAGCAAGTATCCTTGGTTGGGGAAGGGACCCCACCAGCCCTGTGCTTCCAACTGTCATTGAATGTTTTCCGTTGAAATCAGTAAGGTCAAAGAAGAAAGAGAATAATTTATATGTTCCTTCAAATGAGGGAACGTCCACCTCTGCCAAGAAGATGTCCTTGTTGGAATTCTGCTAATGGATATATGAACTTTTCTTCTTAGAGATTTTCTTGATTCTTCACATGACACATCTTGAAGTTTATCTCTGATAAGCTAGTGAATTAAACAAAACTGGAGCCAAATAACTGATTTAAAGTGGCACACAGGGAAGGAGACTTTTGGCAGTCAGAAGAATAAAACAAACTTAACATCGGATATTCTCCTAAAGAGATTAAAGTTCTTTGGAAAAAGTTACATATTCTCATTAGGTCAATAGCAAATTCTAAGGCTAATAGGCATTTTTCAGGAAAAATGCGGGAAAAGTTACTTCTGTCTAGAATCCTTAACTTCAAGAAGGAGAGGATTTACATTTTATTTAAACTTTCTAGTTTTGGAATGGACATAGAAGCCTCAATGTCTAAAATATCAAACATACTTAATTTTTTTTTTCAGAGAGTTTTTGAAACCCTGTACTCTTACATGGGGAACATTATATGTCATGGTCCCCTGGAATCTGGGGCATGTGCTTCTTTACCAAACCCTTAAATATATAAGCCGAATCCAGTACAATGAACATCTTTATGCCGCTAGATTTCTTTCATTATTCTCAAGGACTGTGTTCATTCTTTTGATTCCTACCCAGAAGGCTGTCTTAGTCTTATCTCAGTATCTTCAAATAGTGCGGCCTCATACCTCATATGGAGATGATTTAGACTTTCTCACCTCTGTTCACAGGGAACAAGAGGGCTTCTTGGTATCATGTGGTCTTTGGGGTCATTAAGGATGCTTTCGACTCCTTGCACAATCAGCTATAATATTTAAGGAATAGGAGATACTCCACTGTGCAAACAAAAAGGCAGTCTACATTAGCCCATCTCCAGATGCTGTGCAGAGATAAAACAATTTGAATACTGGTGGTCAGTGAAAAGGTTTTTTAATGCCAGTAGGGTACCTCTGGGGTCATTTATCAGCACCAAGGACAAAACAGAGAGTGGTAGTGTGTGTGAGTTTATTTCTTTCTCAGTTTTATAATCACCTAGATCACTATCAGTAGAAACCGTGTATTTAAGATCTATCATGTGCCAGTTACTCAGCACATAGTTTGCACTTTAATCATCTTACAGACATGGTAAACTAGTGATTATTCACCCATTTTACAGATGAGGAGAATGAGACTTAAATACATTCACATGTCAAAGCCAAGACCCAAACTTGTGAGGCCTGACTCGTGTGCCTGAGCACTTAACCAACATTGGCAGCAAACCTGAGACTGGAACACAAAATGTGCCTTACAGCAGTGCCTAAAATCTTTCCTCTCTATTACACTAACTTGACAAAAGCAACTCAAAGGCTGTAATAAATTATCTCAACCTGCCCTCTCTAGAAATCCAATTCCAAATTTTCACTGTAGGCCAATTCTTGGACACTGTTGATAAAGAACAAAGGAAATGAAAAGAAACTTTTCATTGATAGGAACCTTGCTATCAACATATTTCACAGTGACAAGTGGGTTCTATCATTGGAGTGCAATTAATGATGCACATAATATGAAAAAAGGAAACGGGCTTGCATGTAAGCTTGGTTTGCACATTTATGTTATCAAGATGTTGATGAGGGTCAGATTTTTTCTTTTGAATTAAGCTGTTCTAATCATGATAGGATTTTTTTACTCAGCAGCTTTCTTACATTTATATATGAATACATGTGAAAATGTGGGCCTTTTCAACTTAACTAGCATCTTTAGGCTCTAGAAGTGCATGGAACTTTTCATATATGCCCTTATACATTATTCTGGAGTGTACACTTCTTCACCCTGCAACGTCATCTCACTATGGGCAATGTATTTTGATAAAAAGCCCTGTGCTCCATTCCATAGGGTCAGCCAAAGAAAATCCCTGATAATTTATTTGCAAATAAAATATACTTAGGGTTTTTTTTTTTAAGAATAAAAAAAGTAACAACCAAGATGCATTGAGGTTTCTATATATTATCTCATTTACTTCTCTGAAGAAAGACTATAATTATCATTGTACCCTCTTGTAGGTGAGGAAATTGAGTTCTAGGAAGGTTTAGTAAACTGCCCAAAGTCAGATAGCTACTAAGTGGCAGTGCTGGAATTTGGGCCCAATTTCTGACTGTAGAGCCAGGACTATAAGAACTGCCTGGCAACAAAAAAAGAGCTAAAAATATGTACAAAATCCAGAATTCTTCCTTTCTAAAATGTTGTATTGAGTTGGCTTTGGAAGAGAAATCCCTCTGAACTATATAAGCTCTGACCCTTTTGCCTTGTGACTGTGTAAAGTCAGAGGACTCATTATACCAATGTGAAGCATTGACGGAAGCATAATTAGGAAGTGCATATAGAATGCTGCTGCTTGTTGCAAGCTGTGCTATTAGTGTGGAGTCTGTTCTCTGATTTGGGAGGAATCTCACTGCTGTCTGTGGTTGTGGAGCAGAACAGCCAAATCCTTGTAGCCTCTTGCTATTATTTAGTGTTAATAATAGCCATGACACAGGTTTGGTTTCCTCTTGTCAGGTCTTGTTATAGGTAATGGTGGATGTTCTTGTGACCACAGACAATTATTTTGCAATAATGATCTGCTCAGAGCTCTCCAAACAGAACAATAGTTCACCTGAGTCCTTCCTGTATTATTACAGACATATCACTCTGTTAACCACAGCACTTTTCTGGAATGGTTTTACCAGGAGAAAAAGATTACATGTTGATTATCAATTCCATTTTGATTGTTTTGGGCAGCTGAGGAGTTCCTTTAGACTGATTCAAATATATGTTACCTTAAACATCAGCTTTTCAGATCAAAGAATCTGTTGTATCTATTGCTTCACTTGGAGTCCCTAAATTCAGTATCCATTAAGCCCAAAGCCTTATCTCAGACTCCTCATAAGACATCCCTGTATTCTGCTTTTGATTTGCAGAAAATTAAAGTTGTTTGTTTTATCCATTTATTAGATTAGATACATTTATCTCTTCTGTCAGTCCAAACACAGCTTGGTCAGCTAATCTACTTATACCACTTTGAACAAGGACAGTGTATATTTAGGTTCCTACTTCCCTACAGGGCAAGTTTTCTTTTTGCGTTTGCATTTGTTTTCTAACTACAGTTTGTGTCAATTGGGACATGCTAAACACACATCTTATTCCAGCACTCCATACATTTTTATGAACAGCAGTCTGGAATCATTAAATATCCAACTGCTGACAGTTTTCTTTTTCATTATTTGGGTAGATCCAATTCTTCCTACATAGTATGTACATGGACTCTACTTCCATATCCTTATCAATGTCATGAAGACGTTTGGTTTGCTTCCACATTGGTTAGGGTTGTCTTGTACCATTCCCCTGGTAATATGTGATATGTGTATATGTATGTTTCTGTATACATATAGGGGTCCCATTAATGCTCTGTCATCTAATGGAAAATTGGTGTAGCTAGTTTCATTAGGTCAATAAAGCTTCAACTTTGACTATCAATAACAATTTCAAAGGGATTCATTTTGATGGACTTTGCTTCAAATCAGATGCCCATGATGGCAGCTAGCCTGGCCCATTGTGTAATCCCAGGCCCTAAAACCTAGATTTGCTTTGATTTCCTCAACTGAGAGTATGCCAACCTGAGAATTAACCAGTAGAGCTTAATGATGGCATTATCAAACTAAACTGTGGGGCAGTAGACATCAGGCTCTGTCTGAACACAATCTTTGGGGAAAGCATTAGACTAGTGGGCCCCCTATAGAAACAACAGTATGGTGTAGCCACAAGGTTTTATTCAGATCATAACCTCACAAATGTGTCTTCTTTGTTTGTTTTTGTTCACTGAGCAGTATATTAATTAATCCCGGAAACCATCTTAAGATCCAAGAAGGGACTTTAGGATTTTTCATCGCAAGTGATGCCAAAGAAGTTAAAAGGTAAGAGTTTACTTTCATCTGACTTTCTTGCTGGTCCAGCCATAGACATCTTGACCTACTGAAATGGGCGTGCTGCCATATATACAGAGCTCTAACCCCAAACTTCTTAACAGGGCATCAAATGGTGTAGAGTTTTAGGAAACAATTTATTAAATCTTGTGCTTTCAAAGTCTTATAGTCAATTCCATATCTTTGAATTCGAATAATAAAATTTTAGGACCAGAAAGGCCTAGTTATCTACTACTTCATTTTATGAGGGAGAAAACAGAGGCTCAGAGAGCTCTTGGTCATTCTGATTCTTGGTGACCAAGAACAACATCACAGGACACCTGGCTCCTTGTCTAGTGCTCTTTACTTAATGTTATCTGGGCCAATTTACTGGCGAATTATCTCCTGTAAATGTCAAATGGAATTTCCAAAGGTTTGGATTAATTTCAGAAAGAAATATTAAACTAGCTATATTTCTATCTGTGGCTTTCTAGGTAAGTGGCTAAAGTTGTCAGCTTTGATTGTTGAGCCTCTGTATATACAGCCCAGGATTTCATTGGCCTTGATGTTTCATGACATTTTTATTAGTATCCTTAAACCTGTTTAAGCAGCCTAGGGAATCACAGGGCTTTTTGCAGCACAACATGGACTTTTGTTACATTTGATTCCATGCTATGAACTTGGAAAAATTTACTAGCAGAAAATGAGATGCAAATGGTCAGACAAGTCAGTCAGCTCAGCAGTAACATTACATACAATATTTCAAGTAAATTATTAATTGTGAAGATTTACAATTATGTACATAAGCCCATTGTCTTCATTTCATGAGTTCCTACTCAAAGCCAGGCATGTGCTGGATATGCTACATACTTTATTGCTACTCCCCAAAATAACCTGGGGAGTAAGTTACCTTAAACACTCAGGGTTTTACTCATCTGTAAAACAGAGATACATAATTTATCCAAGGCCATGCAGCACATAAGTAAGTGGCAGGACTCAGATTGGAACTGGCATTTCCTTTTCTAAAACCCACACTCTTTCTACCAAATTTAATAATACTAACACACAATTATGAAGAAGGGTTTACTATTTGCCAATGCGATTCTAGGTGCCAGGTTTCTGGCAACTTTGATCTCATTCAAATCTCACAGCAACTTTATGAAACAGGTAATGTTACTATTTTCCACATTACATTTGAGGAAACTGAGGCACAGATGGGTTAACTATAATAACTTGCCTATAGCGACACTGCTAGTGAGTAAGAAAGTCATGATTTAAAGCCAGGAAGTCTGGTTCCAGAGCCTGAACTCTTAATTATTTGCCTAGGGGTGAGCCTGATGTGTTGAGCCTAGAATGATGATATGTGACAACGGATGCTTATGGTTCGCTTCCTCCTCATCCGTTCTAGAAAACTAGCCATGCTAATTACAAAAGCTTTCAGAGGAAAAAAAGAAAACAAGAGCTGGAGGAGCAAAGAATAATTCTTAAAACTTAGAATTAAAAATTTATTCTATTAACTTGAATTTACTGCTGCAAATTGGGAAAAGATCACCATTGTTCAGTTGTAGGAGAGAAATTCCCGCTCCAGTCCATGGAATCTCACTGTTTTTCAGGAGTATCCTGGAACTGGGGTCACCTGAGAAGGGAAAGTGGGGTGAATGGGGGCTAAACGACAAGCCCTCCCACCCCAGGTCTCTGGCAAAGAAGATTGTGCTCTTGTCCAGACAATGAGACACAAAAGCTTGAAGCAGCATCTTAGCACCAACGATAGGAGACTGGGGAATACAGCGGCACCATATATCACGTGCACCTCCCAGATAACAAATATAACATGAAACTCCCATTTGTGTAATTCTATTTCCTATTGCATCTCTCACTAATGAATGTCACAAATACCAAGCAGTCCAAAAAATAAATTACCTCCTATATTAGGGAGTGCAATATGTCTCATTTCAGTGCTTTATGGTATTCACAAATACATGCTGACACAATCAGTTACAATACCAGCCTGTAATTTTCCATGGTGTGTGATGTGTCAGAGCAAATGCTGTCAGTTAGGGGATTTCAAATAGATGAAGACTGCAGAAAACCACAGAAAGGACATTGGAGATTTGAATGAAACTAAACAAGTTTTGTAAAAATGGAAAAGTAGATTATGATGATCTAGTACTGAGTTTTCACCCTCCACTGTAAACAAGCAACAAAAGGAGTTAATGAATTCTAGCTCATAGAAAATTTCAGATGCAGTGTTTTAGAAAAAGAGGAGCGAAGCTATCCAATTCTAGTCTTTAAAAGGTCACTTGAGAATGAACAATTGGGCACTTATTCTCTACTCCCTGCCACTAAATATTTTCCTTTTTAAGTAGCCTTAGAACATAGTCTTTACATAGGAGTCACAAAATGGTGGCCCACTGATTCAGTTTGGCTTACAGATATGATTCTTTTGAGTCACAATTGAAAAAAAATTAGCTGCCAAGTTGAAAAGGTCATGAGCTTTAACATAAAAATCCTTATTTCTTCTGAAAAGTTGACAGAACCAACAATATTTGGAAACATTTTCATATCTATTCTTTTGTTCATCAGATATCTACAAGCAACTTACTATTTAGGAGACTCTGTTCAGGGCACCAGAGAAACAACAGTGAACAATGGCAAGGGATCCCTGCTCTCTCAGGGCATTCTAGGGAGGAGAGAATTAATTAAAAAAAAAAAAAATTCATGGTAAAAGAATTCACACAACAGGGTCACTGAATTTAGGTTGAGTATAAGTGAAGGCTTCTCTGAGGAGGTGGCATTTGAGCAGAGGTAGAGATGAAGGGATAGAAGCCATCATAAATGAAAAGATAGGGTGGGCAGAAGCTTATTGTGGTCAGGGACCCCAAGGAGGAAAGTATATCTGGAGAGCAGAGGAAGGAGAGTGGTATGAGATGAGAGAGAAAGAGAGGCAGAGGCTGGTTCCTGCATCACTTTATAAAGAGGTTGGATTTGTTAAAAAATGAAATTCAGCTATGGTTTTAAGCAGAGGGGTGATATAGTCTGACTTACATTATTAAAGGCCCTTCTGTCTGTGTTGTGAAGACCATGAGTGGCTCAGGAGAGGAGACGAGAGACCCAGAGACTATTGCATAGTTTAGGTGATGGCAGCTGAGACTGACTGGGGAGTAAAGGTGGGGAGAAGTCCTTTTCAGACTATATTTTGGAGAGTCCACAGGACCCACTGGAGAAGTGAGGAAAAGAAGAGGAATTGAAGAAGAAGCATGGATTTGGGATGATGAATCCATCCTACCAAGATGTGGAAAACTAGAGGAGGAACAAGTTTTAGGTGGTAGGAAGTTAAGAATTCTGTTTGGGCTATGTTAATAGGAGATGTTTACTGAAAATACACGTGGAGATGCTGTAAATGCAGTTGGAGTATGGAATTCTGGGGAAAAGTGAGGACTAAAGATAAATATTTGGATTCTGTATCAGTGAGGGTAGTAGCAAGAAATAGACAACACACTTAGGTGGGGAAAAGGAGGAGAGTTTTTTTTTTTTTTTTTTTTTTGAGTTGGAGTCTCACTCTGTCGCCCAGACTGGAGTGCAGTGGCCGCTTCCGGCCACCGCAGCCTCGACCTGCTGGGCTCCGGCGATCCTTCCGCCTCAGCCTTCCAAGTAGTTGGAATTACAGGCATGCACTACCACACCCAGCTGATTTTTTGATTTATTGTAGAGATGAGGTCTCGCTGCCCAGGCGGGTCTCGAACCCACGGGCTCAGGCAATCCACTCACCTCAGCCTCCCAAAGGCGCGGGATTACAGGCTGAGCCACTGAGCCCGGCTTAGGAGGAGAGTTTTATGAAGGGACTGTATAAAGTTGTGGGCAGAGAGTTTGAAAAACCAAAGACCCCAGAGCTAGCAAGAGGAGGGAAGCACTTTCACCCTCTAGATCTACAGGGTTGAGGGGAAGAAGGGCCGTCAGAATCTGGAGAGAAGTTGTGTGTAGGAATGGCTGCCCAGCAGGATCTTTGTCCTTAAGCAGAGAAGTATTGCCACTGCCCCATCGTGACTTGGCAGGAAGGGTACCGGGGAGTCAATGTGATGAACTCATCTCTTCCCACCCTCCCGTCTCCTGTTGACTCCTCTCCCAGGCGACACACAACAGGAAACCAGAGGGCAAGGTGGCAGGCCACCAGATGCAGGGTGCTTATGGGAGAGTATGGTGAGCAGAAGAGGCAGCAGAGAGAGCTGTTTTGGATAGTGGGAAAGCAAGTCCCAGGAGCATGGAGTAGATCCAGGGGAGTGGGAAGAGGTCTCTGGACTCTGTGATTGAAGATTTAAAGCGAGATCAGTGTGTTTTCTTCCCCAGCAACAGTTGGTTACTCAGGTCCAGGTGTGCAGTAAGGCAGGGGCTTGGCTTCAAGGTGAACATGAGAGAGACAGATACGAGTAGGGAGAAGTGAGGGAGAACAGTGCCTGCAAAGAAGTACCACTTGGCACAGCTCAGCTAGAGCTTTAGAGACTCTGTCTCCTCCAGCTGGAGGACTTGTCTCCAGGTCACCAAGGACACCTCCTGGCCCTCGCCTCATTTCACTCATTAACCTGACTTGCCTGACCCTAGAAGACATTATGTTAAGTGAAAATCAGGCACAGAAAGACAAATATTGCATGATCTCACCTATGTGTGGAATCTGAGAAAGTCAAACTCACAGAGAGAGTGAAATGTTGGTTATCAGGGGCTGGGGGGAGGTATTGGAGAGATGGTGGTCAAAGGATATGAAATTTCAGTTTCAGGAAAATTCAAGAGATCTATTATTGTTCATGGGGACTATATTGATAACAGTGTATTGTATTCTTGAAAAATGCTAGGAGAAGAGATTTTAAGTGTTCTCACTGCAAGAAGTGATGCGTGTGGAGTAATGTATATGTCAGTCAGCTTGATTTAGCCATTCCACAGTGTATACACATTTCAAAACTTGTATACTACAAATATACACAGTTTTTATTTGTCAATTAAAACCATAAATTGAAAAAAAATAGTTTTAGTTCATGAACTAATCACACTTTATCTTTTCATTGGTCTATTCAGGCTAATCATTATTTCATCTCTTTAGTTAGTATAGTTATGTTTAAGACCCTAGGCTCTGATGCCAGACTGTGTGAATTTGAACCTTGGCTCTGCCATTCTGAACTGTGTGGACTTGGGCAGGTCACTTAACCTCTCTGAGCTTCAGTTTTCTTATCTGATCACAGAGATAACAATCATACCTCCTTCAAAGTGTTGTTTCAGGATCAAATATGTGAACATTTAGAACAACACCTGGCCTATAATCTGTCTCTATAAATGTTAGTTATATGATTGTTACCATTATTATTATTATGTGTTAGGAGCATCAAACGGGGGGAAATGGCCAAAGAAGGTAGAAGTAAAGTGACTTTCCCCAAGTTGGATGCTTTCTCCTTTCCCGTCTTTCCTGCTCCAAGGCAGATTGATCGAGTTCTGAGTCACATTGCCACTCAGGGTAAACAGCTAGCTAGCTCGCAACATGGATGACAGCTGGCGTTTAAAGAAATAGTGGAGATGTGCTAGAGTAGAACGAGCATTGGACTTGGATTCAGAAGTACTGGAACTGGCCAAGCCCCAGCATGGGATGACCGGGCAGGCCATGACAACTCCTTTAGTTTACAGATGAGGACACTGAGTCCCAGAGGCTTGGCTGCAAGCTCTCTTCCGGATCCAAAAGTCTTAATGTTGGCTTCCAATGGGTACCAATTGTAAATCCAAGTCCCATGAAAAACATAAAAAGGAACCTAGGAATGGTCAAGAATTGTGTTTATTTCTTCAGCCCCAGTCAAGGAAAGACTATGTTTATCCCTGGCATTCAATTTCATGCTGAGAGTGGTGAAGGTGCCAAGCCAAGGATTTTGTTAGTTCCTGGATCCAGAGGTTGTAAGGTTGTTCCAGTGAAATCTGTCACCTCCCCAGAACTGAAAGGGCACAGGCTTCTTGTGCTGTTCTGGGCACTGTGATTTCAAATAGTGCTTGAATTATCTTATTTTGTCTCATCCGAAAATCTTTGTCACAGCCAATGCCTTTTGGATTTACCTATGGAAATTTCAACCAGATTAGGGGATTCTCTTGTTGACTGCTTCTTCAAGGTCTCCTTCTACCCTCCCATGCCTTCCATAGCCTCTGTTTACCCCATTCCAGAGATCAGTTGAGCTTTGCTCCACAGTGAGAAGAAAACATTCATTTGGTGCATGTTCTCAGGACTGAATAGTATGGAAGTTGATCCATCCAGCTTTGGAGTAAAATGGGCTATAAAATCCCCAAGGGGTCTGACAGAGGAACCCCTCATGGCTTTTGTTCTTTTCCTCTCTGCCCTCCCCCTCAAACCTCTCTCACTTTGCCTGACAAGAAACGGTGCTTTCAAAGTGACAAGGTTAATATTTTTATTTGACTGAGGAACGACATACTTCTGTCCCCTTTAATATATATTTGAACAGACCGTGGGGCTTTCAAAGTTGTGTTTAACTTCCCCACCAAGGGCCCAGGGCTGCTTTTCCCGTGAGCAGCATCGAATGCTGTTCTCAAAAATGAATAGAGGAGCGAGTAGACGCAGTATGTCACATCAGCAACCTTTCTCCCTGTTCCTTTGCAAATGGAAGTTTATGAGAAGAAACACTAACGCAAATCACAGAATCCCGTGTTTGAAATAAATGGTCTCGCAACAAACATTTCCTTCTGCAAACGTCTAAACCTTTCAAAAGATTAAAGGAAATTAGTGCTGGCGTGTTTCATTAATTTGGCACCACCGCGGAGGAAATGTGGTACTCATTTCATTTGGGTGGATTATGAAACGTGTCAGTTTTTCCATTCTCTTTCTCCAGGGCATTTTTTTACTGCAAGGCCTGTCATGATGACATCACAGATCCCAAAAGAATAAAAAAATGCGGCTGCAAACGGCGTAAGTAGTGTTTCTTTCCCCATTCTCCCCCCATTCCTGTTCCCCAAATTTGTTTTCCTTCTCCTTTTCCTATTAGAGAAACACTAAACATCAAGAGTTTTCTTGAATATGTTTATGTTTCAACCAACAGTTTAAAGAGACATGAAATAAATACCTCTACTTTGTTAGAGCAGAGGATGAAAATTCACCACCATCAGCAGCTAAGAGTGAACCTTGTACCTAATCCTCACTTCTTGGTTCTAAAGGTGCCTCAGTGGCTGTGTCCAGTCTAACATAGTCAAGTATGATGTATAAATAGGAAGACAGCTAAAGTCAGGAAGGAGAGTGCTTTTTGTATTGTGGTTTCCAATTGATAAGTTATATTAGTATACCTTGGTATATACCTAATATACCAAGTGTATGAGGGTTGAGAGGGAAGCTGCGTCTGAAGACTCCGTCTCCAAAATAAGAGTTGACTCTCTTTCCATTTGAGACTACTGCAGGTTTTAGTACAAAAGGCCAATGCTTTCAATTGTAATACTCTTGGACTTCCCCAAGGGAAATCTTTGCCCTTGTCAATGGACTTCAATTGCCATTGTCCCAAAGGCTGACTTCAAGCACCATTGCTCTCTGGGGTAGACTAGACTGGGCTCAGTAGCTTCTAGCATTTCCTGTCTCAGGTCCCTTCTAAAGCAGATTGCCACTGGGGCCTCTGGAGAAAGGTGATGAGTCAGGAACATAGAACTGTGGAGATACCATGACTTAAAGTGGTCTTTGCCTTGGGAAGGCTGTGCCTTAGGCAATGCTGCATTGCCTAATAGAAATTGTTCTCAACCCTAGAGAAAACAAAAATAATGATGGCTTCCTTCCTATGGTGAGTTAGTGTTTGAAAAACTCCTTATGATCATTGCTTTGATCTTCACCATACCCTGTATAATTGGCAAGGGGTGTTATTAACTCATTTTACAAAAAAAGAGAACTAAGCTTCCAAGTTTAATGAGAAGATGAGATCACTGACAGTCACACAGCTAATACATGGGGATTCAGCCTCATCCAAAGGTCTCTCTTGATGCTGTCTCTAATCTTTGTTGCAGAGAGGAAGGGCAAGATGGAAGATTCTAGGTCTGATGAGTAAGAACAGTTATGAAAGCTTACCCTAGACAATACTTTTTCACAAGCAGAAACCAGACAGAAGAGTACCATTCCTAGAGTAGGCCAATGAAGGAAGGACCTTTTCCACTGCACACCTGGGGGGAGTCACATAAAATATAAAACTACTAAGATATAAATATCACCCTGTTAGAGCATAAAGAAGTTCCTTTGTCTCTGGGGCAAATACCCATGGGGCACACTCTTGGCCAGAGAAGTTTCTATAGAAATCTTCTCAGGCTGACTCTCAAGTTTGCTCCCTTCTTTTCCACTGACTTAACACACATGGTTCTCCTCTCCCAGACCTCATCACTTTACTAAGATGAGTATTTATTAATATCTCAGAACAAGAGTCTCGAACTTTTGGGGATCTAAGAATTCCCTCTTTATGACAACCTACCAAGAAGAGTATCTAAGAGAGTGCAAGGCACTGAAACAAGGAAAACACCTCACTTCGCATCCAATGTCCCCAGGCTGCATTAATCAAAAGACCTTTCTCACTAGGTAGTAAGTCAACCCAGCCTACTTCGTCGGTTGAGGACACAACAGTACAACAACATTCACCAGGCATCTCCTGGATTGTTTCTATTAGAAGGAACTCAAATTCTGAGGGTGGAAGCAATTAAGAGAGACCAACAAGTACAGGAGGGTGAACTCTCCTACAAGGAAACTCTTATAGTGAGGGACAGGAAAAGACAGGCAAGTTTTGAGGTCGATGACTCATGACAGGATATTTGCCAAAGCCTCATCCCACAGGATATCAGCGGGATGGCAAGACTGTAATTCACTTATTGATTAGCCATTCACATATTTTTGAGTACCTTCTTTGTGCAAGGTGCTGTTCTTGGTGCCAGGAATGGAGTGATGAACAAGGTAAAGTTCCTGCCCTTCTGAAAGCTTCACTCTAGTGAAGCTTCACTCTAGTGAAGTTTACACACCACGATTGTGTAAACAATTAAATAAATTCAGAGGTATTTAAGCACTAAGAAGAGAGAAGAGACTGCCTGAGAGCATGAGGAATCTTATAGGGGTGCTACTTTATAGCTTGGAATGTTAAGAAGGTCTAGATTGGGAGGTGACACTGAGAATGAACCCAATCCAGATAGAGAGAATAGCAAAGGCCAATGTCAGGAGACAGGAATGAGTTTGTAGTTCTTAAAGGCCAGTGATGTTGACGGAATTGGGCTGAGATGAGATCAAGAGGAAGGGAAGAGCCATGGTAGGAAGTGTGGATTTTAGTCATATTCTAAGAAGCCATTGGAAGATTTTAAACAGATATATAACACGATAAATTCCTAGTTTAAAGGATCTCCCTGGTATTTGACTAGAGAACAGACTTGAGAGGCAAGAGTGGAAGTAGAAGAATAAAGAGAGAACTTCTCTGATTCTCACTCTGATATTGGAATATGCCCTTATAGGACACCATAGTGGAACAAGTTTCAAAGTCCCTAGAATAAGGATTTGGCCTCTAGGGTATTTTTTTCATCTCTGTTCCAGGCAGGTAAACAACAGCAGACTTTAGCTTCATCCTGGAGGGAGAGGCTTGAAGTAATTCTATTTAACTGCTTCAAGTAAATTTATTCTCTTCATTTCCCTTAAAGTTGGGTGAACTAGTGAAGTTTATGGTCTCCCATTATGCACAGCACAGTTTTGCTGCAAAAGACCTGCTTCTACAAAGTCATGCCAGTGTGACAAGAGTCTCACTTTCTTCTCTTGCATCCCCACCACCTCCCCCAACCTTGGACTTCACATCTCACAAAGGCGCTTGGCTATGTGACAATCAGAATTGTCCAAATATTGTTCTTTCTAATTAAAAGATCATAGCACAGAGGGCAGGATGCAGATGTGTGTGGGATGAGGGAGTGATTGGAATAAAATGAATTATTAAACACAAACCTCCCTGTGTAAGACAGGCAAGTGAGGAAATTGGAGAAGATATGTTTTGGTTGCAAAGAAACTTTCATTAAAAGGAGCTAGGTTGTAATGCATTGAGGGGTCCCTACGCCACTGGACAGACATGCCTGGTACCTGGTCTAAGTTGGAGAGGGCAGCTGACCCACATAATCATCTGCCCAAGCCTGTCAGTCCAGGTATTAATCGTTTACCATAGGATGACACATTTTGTGAAGGCAGAGCTTATGACAGTCACTAACTTTTACCTACAACTTCCTAAGCCTCTTTCCCCAACCCAGTCTTCCCCCTCCCCCTCACACCTACCTCCTCATTACTTTTATTCAATAACATTCAACGTCTCATGTCATATTATCCGGAGAAGTACTGAGTGTGGACATTCCATTTCTGGAAATCTGTGGTAGTATAGTTTAACTTTTGATTTCTTTCCATTTCTTCATAGCTCTCCATCAAGGAAGAAAGTCAAATTCAGCTGTCTGGCCAAGGAGCAAGCTCTCAGGGTCTATGATTTACCCATTTTCTTTTTCTGTGTAACAAACCTGATCTAATGATTTACATTTTTCTCCCTAGCCTCTAAAAGTTTGCCAAAGGGTGGACTCCTAGGGGACAAGTCATGTCTAGAGTGATGTGTTTGAAGGAATTTTCCTTAACTTCTAATCATTGACATGTCTTTGATTTATTTTTTTTCTCCCTGCTGCCTTGGAATACGACCCCTACTTTATTTTAACTGCACACTGGTAGTGATATATTGTGAGTAAAACGGGTTCCCAGCAGCCGGGAATCCAGTTCCCTCTGTCTTTCTCTAGAAGAGATACTTTTTAAATTTTCTGTACAGTTTTAGTTTCTTTTTTACTTTTGGTATTTATGTTGCATGTAGCAGTGACATCATGCCCCAACTCCTTCATCCCCCAACACGGTCTACAGGGTATCCAGGAGCTGGAGAGTCTGCAGGGAGCCCACTCTCTGTCCATCCATCCTAGTTCCCCAGGCTCTGGCCAGCTTCTGGTGCTGTCTTATTTTTTCAGTTGAAAATAAGACCTTGACAACAGTGTGTTTCTCTCAAAGTTTTTGTCTCAGGACTTTTAAGGGACACTGATTAGGCTGAGGTAATTACCACTGATGCCTCATCAGTTGGGGTCATTGTCATACTCACCTTTGATAAATTATACCTCGTTTCTTCTGCTATTGAACTTGAACTCCTCTCCTGAAGGAAACACATATGCTACATATATATTTATGTGCTGTGATATATATATGTATCAGTACTCTATATGTAAAAAGTATATTTTCATATATGAGAGTAGAGATATCCCATAGAGTGATGTATTTATTACTGTATATGTGCCTCTCTATATGAGAAAGTGCTTGCTATAGAGAATTAATTGGATACCCAATTTGGGGACTGTAAGTATCTAAACTGCATTACTGGAGACAAGTATTTCTACAGTGGTAATTATTTCCTACAGTCCATGAGGTTCCCTTGCTTTAAAATAAAGTTTCTCTTTTAGTTAATACCCAGTAGGACACACCCAGTTCCTCTGTGACACACTCAGTTCCTCAGACATCTTGGAAGATCCATTTACTGTTTTAAGGCAGAAAAGATGATTCGCGGAGAATCAGTTTCACTAATGAACTATGCAGAAGTCTGAACAAGTCAGTGTCAGTCTCTGAGCCTCTAACTTATTCAAGGAGTAGAATGCCCTCTCACACAACAAGATGTGGCAATTGAAAAGGACCTTTTAAGGCCAGCATTTCAGTGTTACTAGAGTAATGCCACTCTCAGTGGTCTCAGCAGTGAGCTTTGGATATTTACTCATGTACATAAGACTCCACTGAAAATAAGACCCAACCTGTAGAACAGTTCAATCCAGTGGTGCTGGAATTTGGAGAAGATAGTTCAGGACTCAATTCTCTTATATTCTTTTGCAGCAGAAGAGGCAAGTTGATCATCCGATTTTGGTTAGTTGTCAGTGTTTGGAGGGTATAGGTTACTCAATGTAAAAAACAATGACCTTCAACTCAACACACATTTCTGCCAAAATCAACTCTGTAGCTTCCTTCAACAGCAGATTCCTTTTAAGGATGGCTTGAGGGCATGAGCCACTTTCATAGCTGCCTAGCTGCCTACTATATTGAATGCTCCTTCAGAATTGGAAGGAAGAAATGATGTCAATCAACAAACAACTCTAGTGCCAAATACTTCTGCCTCTCCTTGCCACAATATGGTCATTGAGAGCTGAATCAACTAGCTTGGTGTGCGCTGTGCTGCTGACATTAACTAGCTTTCTATTTTTCCTCTTTCTGTTATTGGAGAATCACCTAGAAGAACTTTGTTCTCACTTCAGAAGGTCATGAGAGGAATTTTGCTAAGTGAAGGCATCCTCATTTATAGGACTTAAAAGAATGCTCTCTGATTCCCAGGGCCACATCAAATGCCTCAACCTAAATCTTGGTGGACTTTTTCTTCCATGGATATTTTTATTTAGAACTTTAGCTGCTGGAGAGCACATGAAGCAACTCCAGGGTCCGTGCCTGGAAAAAACAATCCTTCTTTCATTGGACTGATTTGAACAGTGAAATTGCAAGCTGAAAATTATCTATTAATTGAATAGAAAGAGTTTTTTTCTTCCACGCCTGTCTTCCCTTGAATTTGCTCCATTTGAAACTGAAAACATTTTTCCCCCAGCAGTTGGAAAACTCCACCTGGGACTCTTAGTCCAGCACTGCTTTTCTTGCCTCTTCCAATCCACCCTGGAAATTAAGATTCTGTAATTGGAAATTGGCTGACGATTTGGTTGCTGAGGCAGGAGGCAGATGGTGCTGAGGATAGGATGGAATCCAATGCTCCGTTCCACTCCAGGCTTGGCTTGGAAGGGCCAACCAGCAGAGGACCAGAGTTTGACAGTTGATTGTCAGCTTGACTCAAGGAAAGAGCTGTAGCTAAGCCTCATCTGCAGCAACCACCTTCCTACAGGTTTCCTTTCTCATGATCATGACCTTTGCAAATAGAGGAAAAGTTGTCCAAGAGCATGTCTGAGAAATCTTCCTGCTTTAAACACTCAAGCAAACAGCTTTGGTGACGTCCATTAGGGGAATATGTTTATTTTGTTTCTATAAATAGTCTTAGGAAGTTAGAAATTAATATTGAAAATGTCGGTTGACTATCCACCTCATTGTGGTGAAGAAAGCATACAAAAGCTTTTTATTTTTCTCCTTTTTTCAAACTGTAAAACTGCTAGGCCTGAGGTCTTTAAAGGAAGGTGAGAACCGGGGTCTAATTCTTGGCCACTACATCATAACCTCCTTGAATTGGTGGCCCTGGTCCAAGAACCAGAACCAAGGGAAAACTGAGCCCCTAGAACCTTGTAATTCTGCTTTCCCGGAGTTAAGTTGGCCTGTGGGGCAATTAACTGGGTGTAAAGTTTCAAGAGCCCTAAGATGGAATACAGTATTCACACCTGCCAGAGACACACTCTTGTCTGTTCCCTGTCTCAGGAAGCTGCACCTGGTCATTGAGAGCTGCAGCAGGGCTTTGAGGAGAACCAGTTCTACTCTGCTGGCCATGGCTGCAGACCCTAGGCTTACCTCCTAGGATCTCTCACCCCTTCATTCCTGCTGCCCCTAAACATCTGCTGTGGATCGTGAGAAGCCATTGAATTGAAATGACGCTGCACATATTTCAATTCTTAAAGATAGCAAGGCCCTCCTTCTGCTCCTTTCAGAGAAAGGCCAGTTCCAGTTGCCTGTGAACTAGCCGTTCTTTCATATTGATCCACTAGATGTCCTCATAGACCTACTTTGTGTATTACCATTGAAATCCCGGGGAAAACCTTTTTCTGAGGATTGGGATTTGAGATGGGAGCAAGCAATAGGTGACTATGTAAGACAGAAAATTAGCAAACACTAAAGTAGAGAGGACACTTTATATGACCGGGTAGTAAAGAAGCAACTTCCGTTTACTTTAAATAAATACTAAAATTAACTGGGCGCAGTGGCTCACCCCTGTAATCCCAGCACTTTGGGCGGCTGAGGCAAGAGGATTGCCTGAGCCCACAGGTTTGAGAGCAGCCTGGGCAACATGGCGAGACCTTGTCTCTACTATAAGTCAAAAAAATTAGCCGGAGGTGGTGAAGGCTGACGCAGAAGGATCGCCACAGCCCAGCAGGTTTAGGTTGGGCAACAGAGTGAGACTCCGACTCAAAAATAAATAAATGAAAATAAATATATAAATACCAAAACTTTCAAAGTTGCACTTGGAAATCTAACCTTGGGAGTTTTAAGTGGAATTCTGCTAGCTAAATTTAACCTTTTAATCTAAATCATCTCTAGAAAAGGAAGCAATCACCAAGAAATGGAAACAAAATATCTATGGTTCTGAATATCTATGATTCACTAAAACAAAACTGAAGGATTGGGAAGCTAGAGAGAGAGTTGAGGGAGATGAGGGATGGTAATTTCCAAATTAGGAGGTCCACAAATTAATTTTGATATAATTTTATTTGATAACTTGAGAGTACAATTTTGCATACATCTTCTGGAACATCAACCACCAGGGAGGCACATCTTCATCAGTTTTTAGTTAAAGAGCTTGTTCGTGATTTGTATGATGGCCCAGAGGAAATCTCTCCCTGGCCAGTACATGTATCCTTCAAGCCGGATGCCTCACTCCATCAGATGGAAGGTCAGAATCAGCCTTACCTTTTAAGAAAGTGGACTCAGAAGTACACCTGGCAGGGAGTCAGTAAAAATGAACTATTTCAGAAGTAGAGACAAAGAGCCACCCTCCCAATTGGTGGCACCTTGGTCTAGACATTGTGATTCACCAAGGTTTGTCAATGTGTGGAGCGCAACCATTTTTAACTGTTTTTGTCTTGTCTTTGAGCCTCTCATTGATTGTTCTTGCTGATTTTTTTTTTTTTTTTTTTTTTTGTGGTGGTGATACTTGTTTGTCTTTTGAGATTTCTATTTTGCATTTGGTGTGAGTGTAAAAATGACTGGGAAAGGAATGACGAGTAATAGCATGTTTTCTTTTTTATGCATATGCTGCTTTGGAATGTGACTGCTTATAATTAACAGTTAATCTTCTTATAGCAAATGGTTTTTTGCTGCTTCGATTACCAGTTTCAGCTTGTTCCTGCATGCTAACAATTTGAAATTTTAGAACAATGCATGGTCTCCAGGACAGCTAACGGGTAACGGTTGCAAACAGTCCCTGAGGGCCACTGGTTTGTCATTTGTTGGTTTTCTCCTGACCTCTTATTTAGTAGGAGGTTTATACCTCCCATTAGGATGGGTTTGCCTCTGAAAAAATAGTTTCAAAAGTTATTTCATCCCCATCAACCCTCCCCTTGTTCTTAAAGATGGTATATTTATAAGAACTTTCTTTCCCCATAAATGTGTCAGATTCTATTATTGTATGTAAACCCAAAATGGCAGTATGGAAATGAAAACCAGGGACTGTTGCTAATGAGAAGCATAGCATTCCAGGGTTTGATGGGCTTCTCTTCTGCTACAGCATTTGATTAAAATTTTTTTCAAAACAATTTATCTGTAGTGAAACAAGAAGTCATCCTTGTTTCCCTCTTCTGTGTAAATAACAAATCAATATTTCCAGTGAAAGAACTCAGAACAAGAAAACATGGGAGTAGTCTCCACATTGTACACCAGACCCGGATGCATTTAAGATAAATTTATTTTCATGTCTTCAGCTGAAGGCTTTTTCCCCTCTTTCTTAACTTGAACCATGGCTGTTTGTCTGGGCATTCGGACCCTGCCTTCTAAATTCCTCTGATTCAAATGCTATAGTGGAACTTTTTTTTTTTGGTAAAAGCTAAGCTCAAAGAATGATATACCACCCATTGACCAGGGCTGGGGATGCATGATGATCTGAACAACAGATCTGAACAATAGCTAGGATGCTAAAAGAACATATCACTAAAAATGTGAGTCAAGTTTACAAGAATGGAGTTGCTGCTGAAGAGATCTCTCATTCATCTCCCCCAGTGCCTGTTCTTCACAATCATAACGTTACCCTTGCTTGACAAATATACTGTATGGCAAGTCATAAAGGTCTTAGAACAGGACTTGACCCATTTGAGAGATTTAAACCCCTCTTCCTGGTGACTGTAACATTCAAAGAAGGCAAAACCACAAGCCATATTTTAAAATAAGAGTGCAACCATTCTCTACAAAGAAAAAGAAAGAGGGAGAAATGACTTTCAAAAATGGAAGTTGTGGGTGCAGGGAACAACACCTCTCCAGTTTAGGTATACTATTTGGCCGTGATGCTTGAAATAAATGTTAATTCTTCTCCCACCCCGTGAGAGAAGCAGGCCGGTCCGTGCTAAGTGTTAAGCAAACATGTTTGCCTGTTGTAGCATTAAAATGAGGTAAAAAAATCTTCTCTTATACTGACATATAAATTGGCTTGAAGGGTCAAGGTGAGGGTCATTGGAAACGACTATGGTGACTTCCAGCAACTTTCCTAGGTTAGCACTCAGGCTGGATCCCCGGCCAGTGCAGAACCTGTGATACCAGCTTTTGAAGAGGTATCAACGCTGAATGGAAATCTCAAAAAGAGATTTCACGTGGGACCCATTCTCGCATTTCAGGTTTCGTAATTTTTAATCTATTTTGGCCATTATTTTATGTATAAGAAAAATAGTATGATTAACCAATAGCTTGATTGCTTTCTGAATTTCTGGTGGGTGGGGAGAGAAAGGCAGTTGCGATTTTCAGATTCTCTCAGCCTTAAGCAGAAAATACACCCATGTGTAGCTAAATGCATTCCAGTAGAGCAACATCTCATATGCTTTTGGTGATTTCTTATTTGTGAACTGCCTTTAATATCAAATCTGCAGCGTTAGTCTTGAGTAGCTGCATTTCTTATATGGACAGATTTGGATATTTGTTCTGTCAAGAGTAAATTTAAATTCCTGTAGCCATCATGTAAACTCACTCTCGGGAAGTTCAGCAAAGGCATCCTCAGATTCTATATTAACATGTAATCGTTTCACATCTAATTTGATGAAAGCTTGTCCCAAGCTCTGCCTAATGCCCAGAAATGGATGGAAATTAGAAAGTCTACATATCAGAAATCTTTTGCATCTTGCAAACACCATTTATTGTACCACATAAGCAATTAACTTAATTGATTGGCAGTGTGTATATTTTGTCCTTCTGTATTAATTGTGCCAGGGGAAAAAAATGTTGGTTACATTTTTTGCTGTCTATAATTTGCTCTTCTTCTCACCCAAGACCCCGATTGTATTCAGCCATGCCCTCTTCCATGGTCACCACTTTAACAAGGGAAGAAAAATAATATGCAACAGGCTTGGGGAATGATAAAGGCAATTTATATTTTCGCTGCTTTTTCGATGTACAACCAAACTGTTACCAACAATCACTCTGCATTTTTTTTTTGGGTCAAGACTGTTAATGTGAACTAAGACCTGTGTTAAATCCCTTCAGCGCCCTTCCAGCTGCCTTGCTGTGTGTGACCTTGCCATTAACTGCCGCTCTTCCTCTCCTCCCATCAACCCCATGGTTATAGCCAAGATGTCCATCTACAAGAGAATGAGACGGGCATGTTGTTTTGATTGCGGACGTTCTGAGCGTGACTGCTCGTGCATGTCAGGCCGTGTGCGTGGTAACGTGGACACCCTTGAGAGAGCCTTCCCACTTTCTTCTGTCTCTGTTAATGATTGCTCCACCAGTTTCCGTGCCTGTAAGTTTAACCTCGACACACACAGTTCCATGTCTGTGCTGTCTGTGGTATCATCCCTGTCTTGTGCTGTGCCCTGTGGTTCTGTGAGTCGGTCGGGCTGATGTTTTCTTCCCAGTGTGATCCCCTGTGTGATGGTATGTTGCCCCAGCAGCCTGTGTCTCCATGTACGTGCTGAAGAAGGTCTCCCTTCTGATTGTCTTAACTCGTTGAGTTTCTTGCAATAGCTTGCAGAACTGTGATTTTGCAGTCTGGTGATATCCTTCCTCTCTCTCCTTTAAATAACTATAAATGGAAATTAAAGTGACAACATCTCACATACTATATTAATACAGAGATATGTGAAAATGTACATCTTAATATTTTGGGAATGGCTGTAAACTGGATTATATCAAAGGGAGGAAGGAAAGAGAGTAGTGAGAACAAGCCAGCTAGCATTAAATTGCTTTTAGTGAGCTTAGATATTTTCTCAGATAGTTTTCCAAATGCAACAGAGTTCTGATACAGATACACACACACACACACACACACACACACACACACACACACACACACACACACAGACACACACACACATACACACATATTCTTTTTACTGTATCTCTCTAACCTGTGTCTCACACCTACAGTGCCAGATTTTGTCTATTTACTGGAAAAGAGTATTCTATATCCACCAGTAGGCTGGTAGATTCTAGAGCTTTCTCCCAGAATGATGACTAGTTCAAACAATTATTGAACCCATGAATATCTATTACTTTTCCAACAACATACCCCTCATTTAACTAAGGTATCTTGCAACAACCAAAAAATATAAGTCATGAACCTCCATGATTTCCTTGTGCCTGTAGCATAGGTTTCTGGGTCAGTCTTCTTTGACACCTACAGGCTCAGAGATGTTAAAGAACTTGTCAGGTTGGTAACTGCCAGGCTGAGATGTGCCACATTCCAAGTGACCTCCCTTATCCTTGTCTTCACTGTGAACTTTGCTATTTTACTGGTACAGTTTGCAGACGATGCTACTGAAAGCTCCAATTGAAACACTGGGATTGTGGGTCCTTGTGTAAGTACAGAAGAGGTGGTAGTTGAGGATTTGGATGCCCTTAAAGTATGACTGTAACCTTATTTTCACATTTCTGGCAGCATAAAAGGTAGGAGACCACTCTTGCTTCTGTGCTTTATCCTTTTCTCTTTAAAGCAGTGCACACATTTATTAGTGAGCCCATTGCCATCCATCCCCTCCCCTTCTATATGTCCAGAGCTGGTTGAATTAAACTTTCAGCAGTGAAGGTTGGTTAAATTTGACAAGGAGGAAAAAGAATTCTTAGTCCTTTTCTCATGGAAAAGGAACTTATATCACTCACCTGTGCTGGTGTTGAGAACCGTCCCAGCACAGTGTGCCTGTGTGATGGGCGCCCATGGAGGCTTCTGGGGCTGAGGCAGCCCTGACTTCACTGTGTGCCATGCCAGGTGCTGATGGTTGAACTTGAAGTTCAGGTGTGAGGCATGATCTGTGCACTGAGCTATATTTGAGGAATTTGGAAAATTTCTATCTAGGGCTAAAGAGTCCTCCTCTCTGATTGACAATTTTCTATTCCTCCAAAACAATGCCAAGGGACAAGACTCATTTAAAAGTGATACTTATTGGAGGTTTCATTGAGAGGGATTTGGACCTGCCTTAACTACATTCCTTAAAATCTTGGAAAGGAAGTTTTCACTAAAATTCTTTCAGATGCCACCATATGACTCCTTATGTCATTTTTCTCCCCATAAGAGTCCTCTCTAGATCATATGCCTACTGAGATGACCTGGGTTACAGTTGCACAAAGATCATTCCTGTCTAGGATGTGCAGCAAGTTACTAGGTTCAAAGACAGGTACTGGGGAAGAAGAGCAGAGAGGTGCCTTGAGGTGGCACGATTTAGCCATGTCGACTTGATTGATGGTGGTGAAAGTAACCACCGACCGTGTGTTACTCTTCTGCCTAATGCACAACTGCTGTTCTCATATAGCCACTAGTCTCTAAAACCTTGGCCTCAATTCAGTGGAGAAAAGGAAAGAGCAACTCTGGTCATGTCTTGGCACTGGCCAACAATATCAATCACAGCAAACTCTGTGTCCCTTGCTTGGGGCCCATGGTGCCCAGTGTGTGTAATTTCCATTTTATCCAAGAAAAACCTTAATTAGAGGGATTTCTCAGCTCTGCAATTTAATCCAGACATTAGTGGAGGCCAGGAGAAAAAAAGCTTGGGGTGGGATTGTCCTGTCCTCTCAGAAACACTTTGCACATGGCTCTGTTGTCCCTCCTACACCTCCAAAATCAGCCCCGCCAGGGAACACATGGAGCTTTGGACTGTATGTTGAGGTCTTAACTGGTATTGACAGCTCAGGGGGTGGTTTGCCTTCTCTGTTTTCATCGGTCGTCCCGCCGTCGTCACTCCATCAAACAAAAGCAGATTTCATCCGTCCCTGTGTGAGACCACTCACCTTTGACCATTAATAATAAGTTGGAAAAATCTATTCCAATTTGAGCCCCTTCATGTGCTCACATAAGCCCTTCTTCTCCAATTAAAAAATGTCTGTCTCTACACAGAATTCCACTGGCAGCGCTCCAATAGCAATCCCCCCGGCGTCCCTCACTGGTGGTAGGGTTGGGTGGTGCCCATTTGACAGAGCGAGTTGACTCAAGAGCAGCGGTGAGAGTGGGCTTTTCATTAAATATGAGCAGATGTGAAATGTAGAGGGTTTGACAATTAGAAATGGCAGGAGAAGGGCCCTTGAATCAAAGTGAGGTCAGATGGGCGGATCAGATTACTTCTCTTACATTCTTTAGTTGTTCTGAAAATCATTTTGAATTAGTGTCAGCAGAGCCATGATGGGTTTTGCCCTTTGTCTTTTATGCTAGGGCTGTATTGTTTCCCAAGACACTCATTAAAGGTCATTATACTATTACAGAGCTTGCTTTGGTCGCAGTCTCCCAGTTGAGCCAGTGTGCTTTGGAGACTGCCTAATTCATTTCTCTCTTGCCTTTCGTCTCCCTCTTTACTCCTTTTTTTTTTCTTTCTTTTCTTATAAGGGGAAAGATTTCCGTTTTCAAGGGATGTTAAATTGAAACACAAAGTCCCATTATGTGTTTTCTGAAGTGGGAAGAGAAGTAGCCAGTTCCCAGAGGAGTGGTAATATATTAAAAGTGTTCACACAGTTCTAAAAACTTGTCTTTTAACAGCAGGGCCCGCCTGCTCAGCGCACCTCTGTGTGGCGGTGTGGCCCATTACCCTGGATCGGTTGTTGTTAAGTCACGTGCTAGTATAAGAGTTGCCATCTTCTATTGATTGAACTCATGAGGAGATGTAAGACCAGAGAGAAAGAACTCTTTTAGAAAAGACACAAAAAAAAGTGTCAGAAAAGTAAGGCAAATTGCAACCAAGAAAGGTTCGCCACAAAAGGATTTTTATATTTGGCAAGACTGAAACATTCAATATGATAGGCTAGAATCAGTGCACAGAGCATCATTTTCTGATCGTCTCAATTTTGTTTCCATTTTAGATAGTCCTAGACAAGAGTCCCAGCTCTCTCAAAAGGCACTGTGATGGTGTGGGCCTTGGTTTTTTCACAAGTAGCTGTGTTCTAGTACTATTGAATGTTAAAAAGATATACCTAGCAACACACTTCCACATAAATATAGATGTAGGTTCTAATCGGTTCCATTTCTTCCCACTATAATTTTGTAAAATGGACCTTTCTCTCTTTAGAAGTTTATTCTTGTTATTTCAGTGTTGCCTGATATCTGATTGCTAAGTGTAATAGGAAGGGACAATTAAAATGATGATGCGGCGACAACGTAGGACCATATTGATTCAAACCTTCTGAGACCTGCCTGACATGATTCTGGTCACAAACTGCCAGTAACCCTGGCACTAACAAATTAATCATGTGGTAAGAGAAACAGACCTTTAGACTTGGGCTTGGAACTCGTTTTAGCTAAACTACATGTGTGATCACTCACACCAACCTTTCAATTTAATAGTAGCTTAAACCTGCACAATTACATGCACCCTTTTGCAAACTACTGTAGCTAATTTTAAATTATACATGACTTTTATTTCGGGTATAAATATAATACAAGGAGGCATTCAACTCCAATGGTTAAGCCGAGAGAAGTCCAATACGATTAGGTTGAAGGGAGACATACCAAAATCAGTTTAGTGTAATCTTGAGTCTTGTCAGATAATAAACAAAAATCAGCTTATCCTGAGTAGCCTTTGGTTTGTACAGGCAGAGAATTAACATTGTCAATAGAACTAAAGTCACTCGAGTGAACTAATGGCATTTTGAAGTACATAAAATCAGATACTAGTGCAGGGGGTGGAAACAGCTCCAGGAAAATGTCTATAATAGGACCCACCCTATCTGACAGCCTCCAACGTCTGTTAAAGGGAGATTTAATTTAATAAGCCACATTTAAAAAGTAACAGCCTATAATTATCTCATTCCTTTTATGTACAGTTTTGGGTGACATCCTCAAACTTCCCAATCTTAAATTTTATTTGTTTGTTTTATTTCTGGGCCCTAAAATCAATGATTCCCTCTTCCCACCACTACCCATCAGAGAAAGATAGAACAAGGAGAACCAAAGGCTACTAGGCACAAATCAATTTAATCATATTTGTTCATGAATTTTTTTTGTATTGTTTTGTTTTTTGAGTTGGGATTTCATTCTGTCATCCAGACTGGAGTGCAGTGGCATGCTAACGGCCATCGCAGACTCCATATACTGGGCTCAGGTGACCCTTCCACCTCACCCTTCCAAGTAACTGGAATTACAGGCGCATGCTACCATGCTCAGCTAATTTTTTGATTTATTGTAGAGATGAGGTCTCACCAAGTTGCCTAGGCTGGTCTCAAATCCTTAGACTTAGGCAATCCTCTCGCCTAGGCCTTCCAAAGTGCTGGGATTACAGGCTTGAGCCATCGCATCTGGTGTATTCATGAATTTTTTAAAGCCCA